ACCGAGAGCGGAAGCAATGCGGCTCCAGCGGGCAACTGAGTTGTGAGGCTGGCCTTTCAGGGAGAGAGAGATACTGGAAACTACTATATAGTACATTGGGGTTGTTGTAGGATAATGGAAAATAAAATGGAAACTACTATACTATATAAAATTGAGGATTCGAGGCAATATAGCGATTGGTTTTCCTATGATATGGTTGCCCCAGGTCCACACGGGACTAGTTTTCGTGACTACTGAGGGTGGCTATGTATTTGACAATCATTTCAGTGTGTATGTTAGTGTTTTCCGATCGTCCGGTTTGTGGCAGGGAGTTTTATGAGAATTCCCTGCGTTTCTGCAGTTCAGCCTTTTAGTGCTTTGGGTTTACGGGTTTTCCCATGCCTCACGACTGTACAAGCAGTATACCCCTAGAAAGACAGTAATGTGCAACCCGAAAAATAGGCCCTGTGTAGGCTCATATCCTTGCAAAAGGAGTGCATATGAATTGCCGAGAAAAAGTAGCTTAACAAAGTGAATCTTCCCAGTCAGAAGCCAGGCACCATTGAAGAGATGCTTCTCGATCTCGCCCCAAAAGGTAGCTGTGACCACTGGGTAGTTCAGGTAAGGGCGTACCTGACACCATGAAAGCATGTTGGGGCTGAATTGAACCTTTCTCAAACTGAGAATATAGTCATGTTTAGGGTTTAGGTTTTTGGGTTTAAGGTTTTAGGGTTAAGGGTTGAAGGGTTTAGGGTTTATGGTATTCGGGTTTAGATGAAAAGGAAATTGTAGGAGTGCCCCTGGAGGGACTATTATGCAAGAAAGCTGTGAAATTCCCAAATATCGTGATCAGGGTTTCAAACTCTTTTCAGGCATAGTCTACTGCAAGTACACTAGGGTTCCACGGAGTTGCTATCATCTTCAACGGTCTCATTTGCTTACTGGTTGTCAGCGAGGAATGAATGAATGATTCCGTATAGCACCCCCTCTATATGTACATAAATTACCCCCAGACATGGCAGTTTCTGCTTTCCATTTTTTCAACAACCGGGAAATGGCCTAAAGCATGCCTATTAGTCATGTCGCGTGGCATATCTCTCCTATTTCGTTGCCAATCCAAAGAAGCTCCCATCTTCCAAAGAAATTGTTTGAGTGGATGATGTCATAAAGACCAAGGTGCTGGGCGAAAGCCAAACCTCAACGCAAAGTATGCAGCCAGGTCGGTTCCCAAGCGGCACATTCCTAGGTGAGGGCAAGTTTAGGGTTGCGGGACGGGTTAGGGTTGTCTCGAGGTTCCCAAGCTGTTCCTGATCTCCTAGAAGGCAAACCATCAGGGCAATATCAGGCAGAAGAAGCCGCGGCACAACAACTGCAGAACGAATGCAAACTCACGAAGATAATGACTGTTGGTACTTCTTTGTCTCGCTGGGCCATGCTACTAATGACTTTTACCGGCGACACGCGCCCCCTATCCCCCCCTGCCTTTGCTGACCCACCTCATCATGACCAGTCCTAAAACAAACTGAACACACAATTTGTCCATGGCTTTCTTGTGAGCGCACCGAGATACTTTTCCTGTGTCAAGAAGCCGGGGAAGAGTGGGGAGGACTAAGAGTGAGTTGAGTTGATTGATGCAGCCAAGCTGAGTCATCATGTAATCGTGATTCCTTAATCAACTGGCCTCTTGCCCTAAGCTTGATGGGTCCTTCTCTTACATTGTTGCTTCTAAAAAACACTATTTAACACCGTTCCAGCTCACACAATGCCTGCATTTGTCTTTTGGGGAGGCCTCTTCATGAAGGGGGAGGCTTGTGTGTGGGCGGCGAGCCCTCCAAGTTGCAGGACATGGCAGATGTCCAAGGCCGTCCAAATTGCCAACTCCCTCCCCCCTGAAATATGAACAACCAGATTCATCACTGGAGGTGACGTGTGATGTAGATTCGAATCAAAAGCTGAAGCCATACGTGCGTTGCTCAGGCTTCTATTTTTCTGGGCAGGGGTTCCTGAATCCACTCCTTGCAATACAAACCGGGACGCGCCTAAACCAGTAAATTCATTCCCCTTACACTTTCAGACTTGAGACCCTCAAGCCCTCGGAAACCTACATGCACAAAGCGTGCTGGTTGTCAGGAAGCGGAGGAAGAGTAGCATGAAACCCTAAATAAACCCTACCTTGGGAACCTTAAACCTGAAAAAAGTAAGGTTGCACATGCAGAACCGAGTTCCTGGCAGGCTTTCATTGAGAACCGTGTTTCTCTTGGGAAAACCGGGTTTTCCCCTAAAACCTATATTTTGGGGTAATAGAAATTAATCATAAATCATTATGGGGCCCCATATGAAAGGGTGGATGGAATAAAGCCTCCATAACAAGAGTACTCAGGGCACTCTCGCAAAAGAATGCATAGAATAATCTAAGTCTAACCCCAACATTTGGAAGGCCCAATGGAAACCTATACCCTGACCTAACGCTTAAGTCGCCTGCTGTCTATGAAGGATGGCAGGACCTTGCATTTGGCTCCGGTGGGCCCAACTTTTTTCTCGGAGATCGAGCACTTCCCAATGGTCCGAAGCTCAGCCTCCGCGACGAGTTTCTGGGATAGTGTGCCAATAAGTCTAGGATAGATGGGAGTTGGTTGGTTGTTTCCTAAGAATAATTAATTTAAACCGGGTCTCTCAGGGATCGTGATGGTTCAGGGAAATAAAAAAGCATTCGTTATTCATGGGTCCCTTATATGGATCGAGAGTGCACTCAACTGAACGTGTATGTCTTTTGCTGCAGCTCGCCAAGCCCAAACTCATTGGCCAGGGATAGTGATGGCTGCTCGTTTCGATACGGCTGGGTTGGTTGAGGAGTGGGACGCTATTGCGTCCGTGCGTGAACTTGTTCGATCTTCTGGTAGCATCGTTACAGAGGGTGCTGAAGACCCGAACAATAAGAAGTGCGTGGAACATGCTGAACTTCTAGCACCAGCACTTGTGCGCATGACGCAATGTTGCCTGAAGCTTCCCGATGTTGATCCCCTTCGTGCCTGCGTCGGCGAACTCTTGGAGAAGCACCAGCAGCAGGTGGATGATGGTGAGGTCGACAAGATGGCCTGGGGTGTGAAATCCATGTGTCGTTTTGTGAAGATGAAGGCCAAAAAGGGTCTTGTGAGTTTGGAGCCTTGTACGATTTCAGTATTCAGATTTTCATTCATGGGTATCCTTGGTCACGCTAGGCATCGTTTATATCAGTTGCTGAGGATGAAGGCTTTCAAGATCTTTGCCTGATTCTGATGCCCGACTTGGAGGCTTGGGTAATTCTACTCTATATAGACGTTGAATTCAGATCCCTAGATGTTTGGGAGGCATTCGTGAAAGATCTTCGGGAGAAGGCTGCTGAGAAGCTGGCCAAAAAACCCAACCTCGACCTTTACTTGGATGAGGGGGAGGACAGTGAAATACAATGAATTTATAGCTTGCATACATGGTCAAACCAATGAATATAATGCTGTACGTCATTCCAGGGCCTCGAATCAGATCATGAAGAACCTGCTTCTGAGCAGGCTGGGAATTTAAGATTCAGCCTAATCATTCACAATCTGATTGTTCTCAAGTTTGACTGTTGTGAAGGAGGATGATCGATTCCAGCCCCGACCCCCAGCGGCCTCAGCGGCCCCTGCGGCCCCTGCGGCCCCCGCTGTGGTTCCCGATCCTTTGCTTCCGGAGCCTTCCATTCCTGAGGCGCTTCCTGAGGCTTCCGTTCCGGCATCGCTTCCTGGGCCTTCGGTTTCGGTTGTTGAGGCTGCCTTGGTTCATGAGCCTTCGGTTCCCCACGCTTCGGCCCCTGCAGAGCCTATCCCGATGCTACCTGCAGAGCCCCTGAAGGATCCTGAACCCAAACCTGTAGCTACGCCCTCAAGAGCTCCTGGCCCTGCACTACCTCTTCCGAACGTGAGCCCTTCCCAGAGCCCTTCTGCTGTACCCAGCCCTGCCAGCCCTGCAAGCTGCTTGACTAAACATTAGATATATAAGAAGAGTTCTATTGAAATCTCGTAAAACAAGCTTTGAATCAGGTTCCAATGCTTCAACATGGTGAAGAAGCTACGCTTGCAAATGCTTCAGGATCAACTCGATACGAACCCTGGCAATACTTAAGTAGCTTACGTTGTTACCTACACTTGATAGACCCACCCTGCTACACTGAAAAACCTTTCAGGATCCGCAGGAAACGTGCTGCCTTCAATGGAGATGGAGGTTGCCCAGTGGTGATTCCGGCGCCTGCAGAAGGATTGGGGAGGGAGGTTGTTGTTTTCTAGATGGGTTCTAGTCAAAACGTTTCATTAATTGGAGAATCCCTGGGAAAGGTGGGGACAAGTCTGCGAGCAATTCGAAGAGTCTTGCAATGGCGAGTCCTACGAAGGTGTCCCCGGATGATCTTGATACTCAGGTGTTCCCTTCTTCGTTTGACTTTGAGGCACCCGTGCCCCCTGAACCAGAAGTTCTGGTTGATGAGGAAACTGCTTCGCAAATGCGTCAAAGTTTCCAGCATGGTAAAGCCCCAGCTACTTTGTCCTCAATGCCTTCCGCTACTTCGTTAGAGCGAAGTGATGAAGCTGATGACCCCGAGCCACCCCAGGAGGCTAGCTGAGGATGTTTGTACTACGTTTGTTTAATCATGATTTTCAAATCTTCACAGGGCCCCATGAAACGGATGCCAGTTTAATTGCACACAGGTCTTTGGCCGTCGGCAGCAGCTTGGTCTGAGAGAGGAGCTGCGAAGCAAGGAGGATGGTAAGGGCAGTGGGACAAGGGGGCGAAAGCGCCGAGTTTGCGCCCGCAAGCTCAACAAGTTGCGAAAGCAAGCTCGTGCTGCTAGCAGGGAAATCATGGATGTGGAGGAGCCGGTGAGGGAGGATGGTGATGAGAATGAGTGGGATGAGAATTCTCCGGAGGGGGAAAGTGTGGAGTGCCTCGAGGGTTCTGTGCCAAGCAAAGCGCGGAAAGCCAAAGCAAAGGCCAAAGCGAACCCAAAGGCCAAGAGCGCCCCGAAATCCAAGCCCGGCCCGAAGCCTGCTGGAAAGGCAAAGGCCAAAGCAAAGGGCACGCCGAAAGCAAAAGCAAAGGCCGAAGCAAAGGGCACCCCGAAAGCAAAGGCAAAGGCCAAAGCAAAGGCAACCCCGAAAGCAAAGGCAACAGGCAAAGCAAAGGCAGCGGCAAAATCCAGGGCCAGAGCCAGGGATGTTGAAGTGGATCCAGCTGACGTTGAGTGGGTGCTAGACTATGTGCACTCCTTCGATGGTTACCTAGATGTGTCCTCGAGCGTGGAAACCGTAAAGGAGCAGGTCCGCTACTATGAGCCCACCTTTGAAACGACAGCTCTGGATATCTACTGGAGTCGCAGTGCCTGTGGCCTCACCTTGTATCTCCCCGATGGTGCAAAGAAGAGTGTTGCAAACTTCGACCTGCGTAAGCCCAATCTTACTGTGCGCCAGCAGTTGATTACGCTCGGCACTGCGCAGCTGTTGGTGCCTAGCTTATAGCTTTATTACATTTACCAGTTCACGCTATTAATGTGTATAGGAGGAATTGCAGGGGTGCTAATTCTTTGGAAGTTTTATTTAATTGGGATCAGTATTGGGGTTAGCTTGGATTGGGGATCTATTTAATTTTCTTAAAACCAAATCCTACCGAAATTCCCGCAACGACCCCCAGCCACATCCCCATTAACTAGAACCTCCGCTCTTCCTAGGCGCATTGGATTGACGGTGAGAACATCCAGGAGCCTTGTGATGATCTCTCGCTTCGAGTCAGCGAGTTGAAGGCCGTGATGTTTGCAGCCTCCGATAGGCTGAATGAGTGAAAGGATGGCGAATCCTTTTCCTACCTTTGTGGGTACATGTGGCTTTGAAAGCCATGCTTGGGGGCCTGAGTGGGTCACAGTCTGAAGCGCTGTGCCAGATCCTACTTGGGGCTATTTTGAGTTTCCATAGATTAGGGTAGCCTCTACTTCGCTAGATGCCTCTGCTGTAGCTGGTCACAGATGGCTGCTGGGCTTAGAAGGGCTTGCTGATCAAATATGTTGCCTCTCAAACATAGGCAAGCTTAGATTAATCCGAGACGCGCCATGCCATGCAGCAGCCACTAGACATGTGACCTTAGATGAGCAGTTCGGCCGTTTGCAAGCAAAAAACAGGTAGTTCCCATTCGCATGTGGTGGAGTGACAGTACTGCCTCCCATGCTAGCAGCGTGACTATGGCTGATCCTTCTGCAAGCTGACTCATAATCATGACCTCTTCTCAGGATTCTTTGTGCATTCTCTGTGAACGTAATGCCGCCCAGGCCCGGCCATGCCACGACCAAAAGGAGTGCGAGTCAGTCACTCGAGGCATGGCCACGTTTGCAGGTAACCTGGGAACATAGGAAATAAAATTTCTGTGAGTGAGGCGGGTCTTGCGTGCGAAGAGCAAGCGCAATCGTGTAGCTGCCGTGCTTGGAGTACATGTTTGCAAGAATGGAAACAGATTATGTGTTCGCGTGTTGTGCTCCATGGCTGAATGCTGGGGATGGTTGCTTCATGTCGCGAAGCCTCGGCTCTATGGCCTATATTCCTGCTAATTCCTTGGGCACACTTGACTTCCATTTGAAACATGCGCAGAAACTCTCAGAAGGATATTACTTTTCCGTACACGCACAGCCATTCTGAGAACAATCGCATCATGATCCCGCTTCCCTTACTGGTCTGGAGACTCTTCAAGCTCAATGCCCCAAGAGCCACTCAGCTAATTTTTGATCTACAACATGGGTAATAATTCCCACGCATTCTGAAACTTCCCCTTGCCTTGCCCAAGGAATTTGTGGAGATCATCCTATTGATCTGCTGGACGCAGGGAGGCTGGAATTTGTACAAGGACTTCGGGCTGAGGGTGCGAAGATTAAAGGGAGTCTTGGAGTACCTTGTCTAACCAGCTAGAGCCTTAGATTGTGAAGGATTTCCAATGGATGGAGTTCTATGCTGGCGCCTCTGCTTGCACCCGGAACGTGCGTATGAAAGGCTACACAGGCGCTCGCTTTGATCTCAAGTTTGCAAAATATATGGACATGTCCTGTGATGCCTGCACAAACCCCTTCGACCTGGCCAGCCCCTCCGGATTCCCGTGCCCTGTTCGCATGTACTCTATTCTTGATTAGGGTGGGCCCACATTGTAATACAAATGAAACTTCCCCTCTGCTGACCAAGGCTAGCCATCATATTCTTGCTGAACTGCGAGCAGGATTCTTTTGCGGCCTGGTATGCAATCAAGTGCAGCAGCTTCACGGCTATCAATTGCGGGACGTCCAAACGGTCGGCCTGCAATAGTCTTGGAGATATGTCAAAGCCCAGCGTGAGATTAGCGAATTTACTTCTCGAGAGGACCGCCTGTGCCCAGCTTTGCTAGCCCAATGTCAACAATCTTCACTTTGTTGAGTTGAGCTGAGTTCTAGAGCTTGCAAAAGTATTCCCAACAAACTGGGGAAGGGGCACTACCTAGCTTAGTGCACTAGCTCATATACTGGGTTTATATATAGGTGGTCTACCACTTGCGCAGGACGTCTTTGCTTCTTCTCCTCACATGTGCCCTTGGAGGGGCTTGGGCGCTGGAGCAACCAGGAAACTCTTGTCTTGAATTCCACCCTGCCTTCATGTTCGTGACAACGCAGATGATCTCTATTTGTGGTTCGATTGGCGCTGTACCCTTTATGCAATAGCTTCATACGTGTGCTCTTCTGAACCAGCAATATCCTCACCCCAACCTGGTCTTGACCTAAGGTTTCCCATGTATCCTGGTGGATGTATCATTACAACGCAAAGACGGCTAAGCGGCAATATGCTGTTGCCAACAGCCCTGCTATCAGATCCCTGGATAAAGGCAAGCTTCAGGTTCATGGGAAAAAATTAGCGAAGGAGAAGATCATCACGGCCAGAAAATATCAGGATAAATCAGGAAAATGGCGTTATCATGGAACGCCAGAGCTGCGCAAAACGGAGTGACTGGGCTGCCTTACGGTATCAACCCATGGTTTCTTGTACTCTACTCCTTCTGTTGATGGTAAATCTACTGTAGCACCTGAGGGTTTATCCGATGCAGTTTGGTATGGCGGTGGCAAAGATTTTGCCAAGACTGATTGAATCGTCTATGGGATGCCCCGGCACGCCCGAAGATGTGCCACCTGCGATTACAAGCTACTTGTGTCACCCCACACCGCCTGATGTAAAGGCTTTGTTTCAAACTGCGGCCCTGCCTGATGTGTATACTTACCTCAGAGGGTCTAGGAAGCTTGAGATCCCAGATGCTTTCCGGATGTATATGCAAGTGAGGCCTCCAGCCCAAGCTTGAAAAGCCAAGGCCAGGTATGCTAATTCATGAAAGATTGCAGACGTTTCTGAACCCCAAGATTATTCCGAAATACATACCGAATTCATTCTTTATGCGAAGTTCATGAAATTCTATATATTTTTACAAAGTAAAAAGCAGGTTCTGGCACAGAAAACCAGGTTTTGTAATCAGAAAACCAGGTTTTACCCCACCCAAAACCAGGTTTTACAAATCTAAAACCAGGTTATAATTCCGAAAACTTGTTTTCTGGTCCAGAACCTGCTTTTTGGAAAACCCATATTTACCCGTAGTAAAAAAAGCGGGTTCTGAAGATTCACTGCTTGTCCGCCTTTTGAAAGAATTATACGAGGTTCGGTAGAATTTCTATCGGGAAGTTACCTCGAAAACCACTGTGCAGTTTACCTCGAAAAGTGGCCAACCCGATCCATCAAAAGCCGGTGCTGCTCTGTGAGTTGTCTGTTCTGCTACAAGTTGCTATATAGCTCTTCGCTTGTGGCCAACCGCCTTGCCATAACCTTTCATCAAGTCTTGAGTAGCTTCTTTACACTTTGTAGAGGAGTCTGAAAGCGTTTCTGAAGAATGTCTAGGGCATGGAGTTGTCAAAGCCTGGAGGAAGGTGTGCGCCTCGTGGCCAAAGATGCGAACCCAGCGCATCTGCCGGCAGCAGCAAGTCTTGCTGCCTCTGCTTTGGATGAAGAAGAAGCTCACTTGCTGCAGCAGATTCAGGCCCATATCTTACATGTATTTCTTAGGGTCCCCCATTCTTAAAGGTTTCCATCATTTATAGTTCCCGACCCATTTCTGTGCATCGAAATCAGGCAATGCAGCAAGCGATCCTTGATGAATCCAATGCTTCCTGCCTTCAGTATGGAACTGTAGAATTTCTTCAAAGATTATGTTGGCTGCTGCTGAGGCATCTGGTGCATCCACAGCCAATCAATCAGATTGCGAGACTGTGCCCGCTACTGCTACATCCTCAACATATAGGTTCTTACAGCCCCCAAAAAACATACTATAGATGTCCCCAAGGATTCTTAGTGACTTAGGAGGATGAGGTGGCCGGCAATGCAACTGCTATGGTGCCTGTTGATACTCGTCCCATGGTGCAGATTGCTACTGAGCAGAAGATATCGGTAGAGCCATATGTATGATGCCAAAAGCTGTTGAAGCAACCTTCTAGCTAAGGATGCTCCTTCCCAGGCGGATGAGAAGAAGCCAGAATCCCTAGATGCCCCCAAGGTTCCGAAAGCCAAGCGCCCCAAGACCCGACGTGTCCCTTGATTGAAAATCTGAAGACAATACTGCTCCGCATGATGTCTAAAGATCTTCACAAAATCATGTTCGAGAGCTAAGGAGCTTCTGATCCTTGCTGCAAAAGCGAGAATATACAGAATGCTGCTGAAGAAGAACAAGAGGAAGGACCTAGAAGCTCCTCCGAATGTCAAGCAGGAATGGGAGAAAGGTGCTACAAGCAAGAACGATCTCGCGGAGCTGCTGATCCACGCAAACTTCAGTAAGGACCCCGCGTATCCCCCCTAGCCTACTACCCTAGTTAATCCCCAAGCTTCAGCGCAAAACCTGTGTTAAGAGGGTTCTAGAAAGGGTGTCCTGGGTTAAGGGTTGCATGTGTTGTATTATAGATAGACGGGGTCCGTCAATTTATAGTAGGGATCCTATATAAGTTCTATAAGTTTCCAAGCTTGCGGCGAAACAGAATTACTCCCCAGGAGGCCTTCTTTGCAGAGGTGACACGCCGCGTGGTTAAGTGCAAGTTGATGAAGATCTCTCGTGAGTATGAATGGCTGAGTGAGCACGAGATGCTGCATGACTATCGCTGGTCGAAGCCCGAACCTCATACTTTTACAATCCCCAATATCTAACCCCGGGTCCCTGAAGTATCCTTGCGTACCTTTCCCAGGAAGCGTGTCAAAGGCGTCAAGCGACGCTGTGCCGAGAAGCCAGGCTTCACAAGGAGAAGCCTGCATGGGTTAGTAGATTTGGTGATTCTCACTTATTACTTTTTCTGAGAGGAAGAATGAATACGACGGCGTGGAGGAATACTGGGTCTGTGTCAAGGAGAAGGGCGAGGATGTAAGTACCGAGCAGCACGATGAGATTAATGAAAGCAGGGAGAAGGCAGGTTTCATGGCTTCAGGAACAATGTCACATGCACAAATTCCCCCCGCCACACTCCCTAATTTCTCTACGCCTATGTGCGCAGGTTGACAACAAAGTGGAGCTTCCCGACAACGCGTTCCGCGCCTTGGAAGACGCGAGGGGACGCACGCAGGAAGATGAAACCTCGGGCGCAGTCAATGAGGTTGCCTCTGCTACGGAGGCGTATAGGGCTTGCATATGTGGTGCTTCTTTAGAGTTTCAAGTTGATTGCCTGTGCTACCCTGTCAGAAGCAGACCCAAGCCCGCAAGTTCAATGAAGCAATCTTGGCCAAGTGCAACAAGATCCGGGCCCTCATCATTGATCTCAAGAAGAATTATCAAAAGGATTCTGAGAAGCTGCTGACCTTCATATGTTAACTTTGTGTTCCCAGTGGTTATAGAATTAGTACTTTCCTGACTCAGGTCTGTGAAGACGTTGCAGACCCACCTTTCCAATATGGAGGCTGAGTATCAGAAGGTCTCGGACGAGCTGGCTAAAGGTCAAGGTGGGGAAGATGGCTTCAATGCCAGGCGCATTATTTGATACCACTTGCCATCTTTGTGCATGTCTCTAGGGTCATGAGTAGGTTTAGCCTAGGTGGTGGGCGGGTATGGAAGCTGCGATGAGACATGCCACGTTTGTGCCTGGACCCCGTATGTAATGCATAAACCCATATAGTGCCAAATTATACTAACCTAAGGTCAGCCCGAGCTGGTGCTGCGGAGATGCAAGTGAAGTCGCTCAGCTAAAATCATTTCCTTTACCTGTATCCACCCAACATTCTTGTGCAACAGATATTATCACCTTAGGTCAGAGAAGAAGTTCTACGAGAAAGGCGGCACCCCGGGAGCGAAAGATTGCCGAGCGGCCCCAAAGGGGAAAGCAAAGCCCGCCAATCCTCCCAACAAGAAACGCAAAACAAACTGAGGTGAAGCCTTTTTGGCTTCGCATGAAAAGCTGATTTGCTTTCGCACAGAGATCTTAAATCTAGCCTGAGGGGGTTACATTAACGAAATCTGGGGCATTTACTTAGCTGACCAGCTCTACACAGCTACCCACTTCGAGGTGCGGATGCAATGATTTATTTCATGGGTTGATTCACCAGCTTTAATCAACCTAATTGAAATCATGGGTGAGGTAGCTACGTGATCCGGGGCTGCAAGGATTACGTCGTGGACTCCTGCGCAAAAAAGAAAGCTCGTGTGCTTGACCTTCCCATGCCTTGCTTGCGTGATGCCTTCTCCAGATTTTACTGTGGGTCCTGATTTCTTCTTCGAATGCCAGGTGCCGGGCCTGCTTTGCGACGATGGACGCAGCAAATCGGGGAAGGGGCCAATGCCTGAGATAAGAGCTTCTTGGTCAACCGTAAAAGCAGCTGGCGTCTTTACTGCAGCGTTTAATGCTCGGAAAGGGGTTGCGCTTGTGGTTATGATAGAATCTCCAGAAGAAGAGCTCTGGGAATTGCTGACATGTCACCGCTCAGCTTCTCAGATGCATTGAATTTCTATCACTTCGACAGTCATGTTTTGCAAGTGTGAATCCCATTGAAACCCTTCAGGAATCCGAAGGACCCTTCCCATGGACATGTCCATCATCCAGACTGATCTCACCTTCTCCTCAAATTCTTGCTGAACATATACCTCATGCTGGCGCGCCTTGGTCAGTATCGAAGAAGCGAAAGATGGATGCTCCTGTGTGGGAACAACATGTGTCCAGCATAAATTTGGATGAGGCAGCCCTTGAGGTGCTGAGGTCTGTTGATGGCCACACATCTATCTTTTGGAGACTGCCTTCAAAAACTGGAACAGCAGGTTCAGCGCTGAACCATGCCATCAACGTGGTGAAGTCGACTCTGGAAGCGAAAGCTCCTATGTCTTTTAAACTGGGGTATACTCACAACCCTTCTTGGAGATGGGACAACACATTGTACGGCTACAAACATGACCTGGCCTACAAGTTCCAAGCTATGCTGGTCTTGTGCATTTCTGAAGAACCACACTCTGCAGCCATGATGGAAGCTGCCCTGATATCCTACTTCAAAGGCAGCTCAGCTAATTTAAGGCACCATCCCCAAAACCAATAACCCTTCATGAACCCAAACCCTTCATGAATCAAACCTCCCCTTCTTAGGCACTCCTGGATGTCAGAATGTACGAGCCGGCGGCGACAATGTCAAGACGGATCCCATGGCCTCTGTGCCGCTCCATATGGTTTACTGGGTTTATCGTTCCTTTAAGGGCAGGCCTGATCCTAGCTTTGCAAGGGGCAAGCGGAGTTAGGATAGAGTGCGTTGAACGAGACCGTGCAATCAGAAGTTTAGCTGCTGAAGGAAAAATACGCCAGCTTCATGCAACTGTGTGTGTGTGTGCGCATTGGTGCAATTTTGTGCAGCATCATGAACACACAGAAGCGAAACAAACAGCATCATGAGCAATCAGAAATATTGTATTCGCCGAGGCCACGTGCAGCTCTGCAGTTCGGGCGGCCAAGGCCGTGATAGAAGAGGTTCCAGCTGCAGCAACTAGTTCCATAGGCCGTGTGGCAGCAATCTCAGAGAGCCACGCGGAAAGGGATATGCACCATGTTGCGAAATCATGTGGTGTCACGCTGCCAGTGGAGATGTCAGAGATTTCAGCAGCGGAAGGGGAGCGAATCCCTTTCTTCAGTATTTCCTCCTGGTTTCGTTTCCTCCTGCGATTCAACCTCTGGCATGTTATTTCTGGTGTGAGCTCCCCTGATATGGGCGCTTGTTGCAGAAAGTGGAGTGTGTTCTGGGAAAGATTTAAAGCAGTTTCTGGTCGGCATCCGGTTTTTGCACTAAGCAGCGCTGCCCTTGAACGTACCTGTGCAATGATACTGCATGGTGATGAGGGCAGGTCACTGAAGAAAAGCCAGCTAATGGTGTTGGCGCTGCACTCCATCATGGGGTTCGGATCACGTGTAGAGCCTGATGGGGTTCCCCAACCCGACCGGCAGGAGCTCAATATGCAAGTACACACATGGGCCTCACGGTACCTTCTTGCAGTCCTCCCCAGGTTCATGTACGATGATCAGCGCGCAGGAAACTTTCAAACAGTGCTTGAGGAGATCACACGTGATGGGAACCAGTTGTTCGAAGAAGGGATCTTGGGTCCCGACAACGAGGCTTACTTTGTTTGCATAGTCTTTGTTATCGGGGACTGGCCTCAGCAACAAAAGATGTTCAACTACAACAGAAGCTTCAATAACTCTGCAAAGGCATCCTCCTCAAAACAGGCCCTGAAAGGAATCTGTCACCACTGCCTGGCAGATACGGCTGGATATCCCTTTGAGGATTTCAATTCTCAGGAACCACGATGGCGCTCATCCGTGGACACCGTGCCTGCTTATGATGAAGAGCCTGTTCTCATGCAGCTGCCCCACGACCCAGCCAAACCTTCTTCCTTTGCTGCCCCTGACTTGTTTCATGGGTGGCACCTTGGAGTCGGGAAGATCTTTGTATCATCATGCTTGGTGCTACTCCTACAGCTCTTTCCGACGAATTCGATTGCGGCAAGCTTTCAAGAGATGCAGGATAAGTTCTTTGACTTTTGCAAGAACTCACGTCTTCATCCGCATATCCGGAAATTGAATCGGGAGACTCTGAACTGGCCGTATGCAACAACGTTTCCTACTGGTGGTTGGAGCAAGGGTCACACCACATTGTGCTTGATGAGATTTTTCATACATCACTGTCAGAACAGCATGGATGCCCTCGGAAATTTCCCACTGTTGGAAAAAGCGTTTGAGGCAGCCCTGGAGATGCACTTATTCCTCACGAAGCTCTACAAGGAAGGCCTGTGGATCTGTCGACGCAAGGCTCGAGAGCTGTACTTGCATGGTGCGCGATTCCTCAAGTTGTATGGTCAACTGGCTCATGATTCCTTTCGGCTATCTCGGCCATTGTTTTCGCTGATGCCAAATCTACATCGAATACATCATATCTTCTTCCACCTGGCAGACCAGGAGAGAGGGGGGGCCACTTGGATCCTCTCTCCTCTCTCCTGGTCCTGCCAGGTGGAAGAGGATTTTATAGGCAGGCCATCACGAGTCAGTCGGCGTGTGAGTACTAGATTGATGATGCAGCGCACGCTTCAGAGATGCATGCAGGCTGCCTATGCCAAGTACGTGGAATATGGTTACTTGCGCCCTGCCCCACAAACATACTAAATCAGAAGCATTTTCATCAGCATCTCCAAACATTGAGGATATACACTCTGAATGTGATGTGTGTTTGTGTGGGCTTCCAGCTCAGTGCCCAGCGCGCTGGATTCTGAAGTCGCCGTTGTGGGCGTGCAAAAAGGCGGAGACCAACTTTCAGCAGCGGGCTCAGTTTCAATCAGACCCTCAGAATCATCCCATTCCCGGAAACCGAGTTTCCTATCCAAGAACCGGGTTATTAGGTTGAACCCTTCTTTTCCAAGGTTCATGGCTTAGAAGGTAAACCCTAAATCCTGAGCCCTAGACCCTAAATCCTGTACCCTAAACCCTAAATCCTGAACCCTAAACCCTAAACCCTAAATCCTGAACCCTGAAACCTAAACCCTAAACCCTAGAATCATAACGGGACGCACCAGACTTCATGCCAAGGGCCCTAGCTAAACCCATAAACCTTAATTTAAGCTAATTCTCTTTTAATACTCTTTATTGAGTCGGTAACCTAGGGGGAGGTAACATAGATGGGGGCAGTAGGGGAACCTATGAAAGAATCCCTATGAAATCCTGATTAGAGACCTACCTTGCAGAACCCCCCACCCCCAAAAAGTACCTACAACTACATAGGCATATTACGATTAAATCAAGTAAGTGACTGTAGGAATAAAGCTGACTGTTGCTTGAAGATATTCCTATCCTACATCTATACCTACTTGTTTCTGCTAATCCCTAGACCTGTATTCCTACAAGGTTCTGAATCTCTCGGCAACACCCAGCACTGGCTGGCCAGCCGGCATGCCACTAACCTTTCTTGTAGCTCAGAGTAGGATGTAGGGCGCAGCCCAGACCCCTGGGAGGATCTAAAAACTAGATCCCCTATATAGACACATTATAACCCCCATATAATCCTTATATAATTTCCCCTACGGTTCTAGGGGATCTATTTTTTAGGTCCTTTTAGGGGTCTGGGAGGGTATTGCGATCTTCAGGGTTTGGGCCTGGGATGAACAATTTTAGGGCGACTTGGGGGAAACCATGGCATTTGTATTTCAATGAAGAGGGAGTGCGTAGGAGATAGCTTTCTAGAATTTCATGAAGGTTGCTCAAACAGGAACCTCAGGGCTTGCATTTTAGAGAATCTGACATATTCTCCAAGATCGAAAGATCGAACCCTGAATGGATGATGTCGACAAAGTTCTTCGGGATGATCGAACTTAGGTCCGCATTTACCTGGCTCATATTCATTCTACAGAAGTTCATTAAAAAAAAAAAACGCTGGACTCCATACGTAATCATGTAGATGCCACTACAATTTCCTGAATTCTTAACCTGTCCTGAAATACGAGAAACCCTAAGCCCTCGCCGCTGAAACTGGGTCCCCCGGGCGCCTAGCCAAGCCTAAACTCTAATTCCTAAACCGCAACCCTAAAACACTAAAGCATTACCCCATCTGCACTCAGCAGCCACAAAGTGCTGGCCGTAGACTGGGATCAGCCGCGGGACGGCCTCCCTTGCAATGGGATTGACGGCTTGAGTAGTAATAGTAGTGAAAATAGTACTGATGGTAGTACGAATTTTAATAACAATGACAAGAATGACAATCGTAATAATATTGATATTCAAGAGCTTTGCAGAGAAAGCGCGCAAGCATATGGGAAGGTTGTCGAAATTCTGGTCCTCTTCTATCCCTTGGATACGGCTGCTCCTACTAGGAAGTGTACACAAGAAAGGATCATAATTTTGCCCAGTAAAGATATGAGAGTCCCAGATGCCCATCGGGTGTCGGTTGCGTCTCTCGCCCCCAATGCTAGACACCCCCTCCAAGGTCAAATATCAAACAATCCCCAATGAATAAGGCCCCTGACAAGCAAGCTCTTACGTTGGGGCTTGCGGGGTTGCTTCCTATGAGAGCCCCCCTAAAATAGATGGAATATAGCTTCGGGTAGATTACAATAACATCCCCATGTACCCCATATTCTATCTACTGAAGGGGGACAATTATGTAGAAGTGGAGAGGAGATTAAGTTGGCTGAGCCGCAAGTACTCGTCTGCAAGGTCAGCTCGCTGCTGCAAATCCAGAGGAGGCTCCCCCCAATCCTCAGAAAAAAAAACACAGCGTGTCGTCCTCTAGTCTAATGGTCACCTCCCCCAAAAGAATAGCCCCCCCATAATCTATACGCATATATAGCATATGTATGTATATATATATGTACATGTTTTTGCACATATTCAAAGATTCCCCAAATATGTCGCAGTACTGTGCTCGAAATGGGGGGATTGGGGGGTACTTGTTGGCGATGACCCATTCTGAACCCTGAACCTCAAAGCCCCGCATCAGTGTCTGAAAAGAATATCTTATACTTTGGGGTTTGCGGCTCAGGGTTGCACGTGTATTCTACCTTCAAATGCTGACCATCAAGCCTGTGAAGAACTATAGGGTAAACGTGGAAGCAATAAACATATGGCCATGACAACAGCAAAGGCAGTATTCATAGCACTAGCAGCGGCTAGCTCAGTAGCAGTAATACCCCCCCCCCCCACAAATAACTGTGATGCTAGCAACAACAATGACTCGAGCATAGCAGCTGTACTAAGTCTGCTTTGCTTAGGGCGTGGTGCGCTAAACCTGCTTCTGATGTCGAATTCCCATTGGTGTGCAACTAAACTGCTTTTCGAGTGAATAATCACGGCCTGCAACTCTCAGGCTGAGGACCCCTAAACCCTAAACCTTAATCCCTAAACCCTAAACTCTAAACCCTAAACCCCCATCCCTAAACCCCATCCCTAAACCCTAAACCCGAGGCAATAATACGACCAGCAATGCAAAACTCAAGCCATCTTCTCTCAGAGTTTTGCGCCGAGGGAAGTCCCCAATATCTTGCTAGGAGCAATGTCTGGGAACGTGGGGTCCTAGACCTTGCGGAGGAGCTGGGACTTTTCTACTGGTCTCTATTCACGCTCCTACAATTTTGTAGGATTCTCTCACATTTGGAAACAATGAGGGCAAGCTCCCACATGCGAGACTTGCTGATGGCTTCCGGAAATTTCATGTAAGCAACCGGCCGCCGTTTCAAAGTACGTATGGCAACTCGAGCTCTTACAACTA